CAATGACGTGTCACTGCAGGGTGAACCTGTCGACAACGAACTGCATATAATTAAGACAATGTGTGGAGTAAGCACGCACTGACTGTATCCGCAACAGTGCCCGTCACTCTCAATAAGTATATGGAAATGAACTCCTACGCCTAATCTATTCCTCCATCTCTTCCTTCTTCTTTATGTTGTGATATGGTATATTATATCGGGTGTAGTATACAGTCTGCGTAGGATCGTAGAGATCGGATTTGGCTATATCCCTGGCGTTATTTTCATATACGGAGTACGCACACAAGTATAGCTGAACCAAGACAATTGCAGCACCTTGTCCCCGTTGATTGGAGCAACGATTGCCCGGCGGAGCCAGCAAGATACTATTCGTAAAAGAGGTAGTGGGGTAGTGAGACGTAATCATTGTAAGCGAAGACATATTCGGCAAGTATCAGCATATGAAACGTAAGAAAAACGTAGTCACAGCGCAATGAGAAAAGTATCTGTATTATAAGAACACCAGGTCTTCCTCTCCAACATTGGTTTCATCATAACAGTTCCTCGTTGAGTTCAAGCATTAAACTTCCCTTACCACCTACAGCCATCACCGTCCAATACTACTCGTGGGTTGCCCTTGTCTAAGATCTAATGTATCGTATAACTCATTCATTTTCCCTTAGTCACAATGGTTAAAGCCGTCTTTGCCGTCGTATTGACCCTCTTGGCCGCGGCCAATGCGTGCGAGCAACGTTGTTTCGTCAACCAGGCGCAGAGTGGCGGCAACCAATGCACCTACGACTGTCACGCTGATCAGGTGAGATCAGCCCAGCAGAATGCTGCGGATTTTGGGGGCGCCCTTCGTCAAAAGGGGTTTTCTTGCGCTTCCAATGCAGGGCAAGTGACATGCGAGAAGACTGGAAATTTCGGAGGGTGTGGCGACCACTCTTGGAATACTGGTCGTGGCTGCTAAAGCCATTATGCTGACGGCAGCAACAATCCAGAGTAAAGTTGGTCGGAACTGCGAAAGCGGCTTGGAACTAATAGGGCATTGGTCTGCTGTGTGCTGTTACTTTGGGCTGCTCCAGATAGTGTTCTCCTGGAAACCCTGGCGATCAGCCAAGACTCTGCGAAAAGGACATTGGCTCTGGGGCCGTCACCAAAATGTTAAGGTCCCAAGTTAGGTGAATAGGGCATGCCCAATATATTAATGCATTACCTTCATTCCGACTCTTGTTAAATTGAAGAAACGCCTGGCAGCTACCGCCACCGTGAGTTGTAGATCCAGACATCTTGATGAGGCGCCGGCACTAGAGGAACTTCCTAGGCGTCTGTTCCGGCTTATACGTCGTGTGTTATCGATGACCGTTTTTCAAGTTCGTAGCTATGACAGAATATGAATTTAGATGTTTAGCCAGTCTTTTCTTTTATATCCACTAATCTGACATGTAGACACATTGGCCATTGACAACATACCCTACTGCTTCTCTCTCAGTCGTCATCCAGGCCTTGATCAGGTCTGCGTAATAGAACCCGCACAGGATCATCGAGAAGGATGATTGAGTCTTGTGGAATTTGCATTTCGATTGGCCTCGAGGGTGCAATTTGTTATTGCTACTTTAGAGCCGTGGCTCCTGAGAAAAAACGTTGCCCATAGTATCATCTCATTTCTCAACTGATGCTTACGAAGCTTGGACAGGAATTATTGACGAGACACATTGTCGCAGGCCACAAATACATCCATTAACCAGGAAGATGCCTTACCCTCGGTTCGTGCTTCTAGAAAATGTGTTAAGGAAAGTGCATGATACGGTTCGTCAATGAGAGTCTTGGATCCCCAGTATGTCGACTGGGGAGTGGTTGGTAGACAGTAGCCACATAGGCAAGCCGTCTCCCCATTATAGTTTCTAGAACCTTCCTCGGCGTGTTGAGCACAACAATGGCTTTGTACGCCTTCGGCTGTGTATCGTTGTCTTTGCTCTGTTTTCAGAGGATTACGGCGATGGCCTCGTTAAAGTGCTCGGCGCCCTGACCCCGATGGAGGCATGCGTTGAAGAGTAGCACCCGGGCCTTTTCCCCTTCCATACGATAGATTTGGAAATTTCTATCCCTATTAACACCCAATCTTGGACATGAGCTTCTCCTCGGACTTGTGTTTTTGAAACATGTAAGTACATGTTTGCAGAACAATACTACTTACTTGCAATACTTCTTATTCGCTATTCTGCATCTCTAGCCAAATACAGGCGGGCCAACCGGCTTGTGGAATAAATTCAACAATGCGTTAACGCCAAGTTTGATAGCAATTCCCCACGTTCTAATGTCAAGCAAGGAGGACAGAAGCGTTTTCCTTGAACAGCCTGACTTGGGCTTGCCGCCCTTCATAATATTCTTCAACCAATAGAGTGCTTTCGGTGCGCCCATCACGGCATAACTTCCATGCTCGGACGCAATATCCCGTACATATTCGACACTAGCTCCTCCATCGCAGTACTTCTTCACAACGGCATCGGAATCAGCGATCGGGCTGACTTGATCGAAAACAGATTTGTACCAGTATAACGGAATCTTTGGTGTCTTTTTACCCAGAGCATTCTCATTAAGAACTTGAACGACAATCTTGTTTTGATACATAAAATTTCGGTCATCAAACATGTCGATAATGTCTTTAAGGAGGTACGCGGCAGCGTTGGCCAAAAGGCACCGGGTCCCAGCCTTTAAAAATGCCTCGGATTTTTCCAGCTTCAGATGATCCTGGACCAGCTGCGCCACATCAGGATACTCTGCGGACAAACCCAGAATGCCAGTGGGGATCAACCCTGCGAATAGTCCCTTGTTGATAGAAGTGAGTGCGTTGGTAATGTTGGGGACTGTACCGCCTACGGCGGCGCCTGCAATCTGAAGCTCAGGGGCATATTCTGGTTGAAGCTCAGCGGCATGGTTGGTCGCCAGACTGCCACCGGAATATCCCCACATGGTAATGGTAGAGTTGCCACGGATGCCGGTAAACGGAGACGAGTTGAGAGCGGCTCGGATTCCATCAAGCGTAGCATAGCCAGCGCGCCTATTGGCCAAGAATGCGGCATTTGGGCCTTGGAAGTCGGGGATAACAACCACCCAGCCTTCGTCGAGAGCTCCTTGCACGAGAATCAGCTCCCCTTGCGTGAGGAGTGTTCCAAGAAGTGGCCCGGCTGCTGAGTGGAGCTGAAGGGCATAAGACGGGGCACAGTCAATAGATGCTGCGTCTTCTGCGACCTGGTAGGACAGGAGCTTTGAACGGTCTGCCTTGTGCGGTATCAGCACAGTGAGCACGGTTGCTGTTGCGTTGCCGAAGCTGTCTGTAGTTCTATACAGAAGCTGGTAACTGGAATTCAGGTTGAGCGGCGCAATGCCGAAAGCGGCTATTGGGGAGAGAGGCTTCCGCCGTCTCAATATTGTACCAGGTTCTACTCGGCTAATATTGTCAGGAACAGCATAGAAGGGGTCTTTACTTGGCAGCATGGGACCAGACCGTTGGCTGAGCGGTGTTGGTATTGCGTTTGCCAGCGTAGCCAAGACGGCTGTAAGAAAAACTCGAAGAGACATGCCCATGATTATTTGCGAGGTGATGACTTGAAAAACATAAACGGCGTTGGAGAAAGAAACCACTACCGATAGGTTCAAGGTGGAAAATACCAATGAAAAAAACAAGAACCACCCTTCCTTTAAATGCTTAGAGTAGTTGTCACACGGAAATGGCCGATTACACTAGGGCTACGGCCACGAGACTAGTGCAAAGTCCGTCACTGACTACTTGTATTTAAAGACGCCTTTGGTGAACTAGGCCTCGGGAAAAACCAAGGACCTTTGATACCAAAGACTGTTATTAGAGATTAGATGAAATGAGTCATGGTGCTCCAAGCCTTTAGCCCTTGTCACAGTATTGCACCTTTGAACTTGGAGTTGGCGAGCAACAAACGACATGTGGACTTGTGTCGCTCGGAAGCTGCGGTTAATTCGTCTTGACTAGACCATCTGGAGGCTTCCCCTTCAAGTTGAGGTAGCAGGCAGAACTGAGTCGACGTCGGCCAAGCAGAAGCCATTCCGAAATAGGCACTGCGGTCCAGAGATATTGACAATGCGCATGGGCACATGGCAGCTGGTGGACCTGGCACGGGGAAGTGGCACGGGGTTATTGTCAATGCCCTGGGGTTTACCTGGGGTAATGCAAAAGGGGCCGTGCTGGCAAAAAAACAAGATATCCCGATGGTGGCGTTGGGGTTGATGCATTGCACGCGCACTTACAAGGCCATATGGTCATGAGAGGTTAATGTATTGGGAGGTGTAGCCCACATCGCGCCCGCCTTTGATACACACACATCCAGGCTGCCACACCCTTACATGTAAGTTCCGTGTAATTGAGTGGATATTAATTTTTAATTATTTTGCTCTGTAGTCAAATAAAATTACACGCATAATACAAGTATCATATAAGCGTAAATCTAAAATAATATTAGGCTGTACTGGGCTAAGAATAGTAGGAGACTAGAAAAGTAAACCGTCTATAGTGCCGCGCCGCGGCCGCTAGCCAACGCCATCTCGCGATGGCCTCAGCCACCGTCGTGGATATCGTGATATTTACTTATAAATTGAAGGTCAAAATTGAAAGCCCAAATTGAAGGTCTAATTGAAGGTCCAAATTGAAGGTCAAAATTGAAGGTCAAAATTAAAGGTCAAAATTAAAGGTTACCGGGCGCGTGGTGGAAAAGAACCAGACACCTTCCCAATTTTTCATGTGTCAATGGAACACACCAAGGGGTGTGGGTTGTGAAGTCCCCGACCCCATCGGGTCAAGTTAGTAATGTCAATGGGCTACAGCGCTCATGAGGCAAGAACCAAACTGGCAACTTATTCCATTTCTTTTTTATTTCTTTTAGAAATATACCATCATGTTCGTGATACGGTAGTGCCATTGTATTTCTGACATGTCCCAAGTCTGCCACACCTTTAGGCTATTGCAAGACCGGTCAAGTCGGACCGACTCACGGACCCGGAGCATCCGACTCATCAAAGCCGTCAATACCGTCGGCGAGACTATCTTGCAGACTTGTCCAGCCTGGCAACCCAAAAAAATCCCTGAGTAGTTGCTCAGCCCTCTTGGCGGGCTTCACATCACTCAAATCGCGGCCCTCATTCTCTGGGGCCGGGGGGAGTTTGCTCTGTGGACAAAGTCTACGGAATACTTGAATAACGTCTGTCCAGTTATGAGGGCCCGCAAACGCAAATAAGCGCTCGTCTCTCACCGCTGGATCGAGAAGCCCAATGACGTGAAGACGGGCCGTATCCTGCACGTCCACGTACCATTCTGTTCATTCCGACGTTAGCACTTTGCCTGTGGGAGGAGACGGTTGTCCTTACGCGGTGGCAAGAGATGCAAAGCCGTCTTGTCCCCTTGTAGGAGCCTCCGTGCGAGGCCCATCGTCGACGCTGTCATTTGGGGTGAAAGAACACGCCCATACTGTTCGGCGGGCGGTAAAGGCTTAGCGACCGTCGTAATTGGTTGCAAGGAGAAACAGTCTTACGTTGACGTTGGGTAAAACCGTGTTCATGACGAAATGCGGCTTATTTTCTCTCATCCAGTTCCATGCAGCTCGCTCACCCTCCGTCTTTGACGCTGCGTAGACCACGTAGGGCTTTTGCGCGGCCGGCGTGCTCTCGCTCCACGCAGCCTTGACCGCATCATCGTTCCACGTATCTAACTGTAAGTTGGGATCAACGGGCTCTTGTGACGCAATGGCAACAGCGAAATACATACCCTCTGTCACGGTACATTTCTCGTTGGGTTTCGGGATGAGGGCCGCGGTTGAAGACGAAGTCAAGACGAATCTTTTTATCGCTGGGTGCTTCGACGCACTTGTGAGTATGTTTTCCGTCCCTCTCACCACATTGGGAATAACAGCGCTAGGGTCCGGATTCATAGAGACAATGGAAGCCTGTCCCAGCCGCGTTGTAAGCTTTCGTGCCTCCCAAGCGGCCTTTGTAGACGGAACCTACGACGTGGATGACCCCGGCCACGTCTTGCATGGCCTCGTCGAATGCTCCTGGCTCCTCCATGTTGGCTGTGACAACCGTCTCGAATAGGCCCTTGGCATGTCTTTTCTCAAAGAGTTCAGTCAGCCACGGCTTGTGCTCGCGAACGGTCCCGCGGACTCGGTAGCCTAGCTCTAATAAGAGATCGACAATATTGGAAGCGATGTAGCCATTGGCTCCCGTCACAAGAATCAGGGAGCCCTTTGGAATTGCTGTTGTTTGAGACATGGGTTGGGACAAAGGGTTCAATTTGATCTGATAACCCTCTTTGATAGCACAGATGCTTTTTTCCAAGGCCCTTGGCTCATTGATGCCAACATTAAGAAGACCAAGCTGGCACTGCCTTGCCTGTACGAGCGACAGTGGGGAAGTCCTCACGTGCAGGCCGCAGTCACCTAAAACCTCCATCGTGGTCTCGTGACTCTTCAATTCATGTCAATTCTCGTGCAACCTCAAGTGCACTGTTAGTGTCCTTGGCCCAACTATGTATTGACTATTGATTCTTTAATATTCTGGAAGAGAATTAAGTGTTTTTCTACTTGTATACTTACAGTAAATAGATTAAATCTCGTCCTTTATTTATATAATATCACGACATATCTTAAAGCGCATCCTACCCTATAGTTTTTTTTTCTGTTGCCGAGTTGCGGCTAAGGCATGTCGACTCGCACATTCAATATTGTATGCGACGGGATCCGCTCCGATTACTAGAAGATTCCTGCTATTTGATCGATCACTTGACCTCGATGTCTTGCGTGCGCCCCGGTCGTTTTCCCCTTATCCCCCATAGGGTAGCCCATGGCGACGGCTATTCTGCGACTTGCGCCGCCTGTAAGCTGGACCGTAACATGTTGTGTATACTAGTTCAATACAAATTTCGATTTCTTTTCGACCGAGCTGCCCAACGGAGAGCATTATCTGATACATATAGTCTGACCATTCATAACATGGTGTCCGTAGTCTCCTTCACTCCAAACAAAGCGTCAATCTGCAAGATGTTGTTGTTTCAGGTACTACCGAGACGGGAATATAGCCAAGGGGTGATTCACAAAATAGACAAATCATATTTTCTCCGACAGCAAGAATGAACATGGCGGGAGTTGCAGAGCCGTGGGGATCAACTGTCAAGGTATCCTTTGCTTGTATGCTCTACTTGCGCAAACCAAAACACTTATAAGACGACCTCTGTCACACTTCCAAGACCAAAACAAAGGCACCGGCCACAAAGATTACACAACAAAGAAAGTATCACGAGGACCCGGAGTCGGACCTTAGCGAGGGTTGCCCAGGCCTCACGGACTTTTTGTATTTACAGAAACCTCTGATCCCCCAAGACCTCTCGGGAAACCAAGAAACTTTGATGCCTGAAAGTTGCTCATTGAATTGAATTTTGAACCAAACCGTTCCAAACCCAGTAACACTGCCATTTTAACAGTATCGTTTGCTTGTTTGCTCTGCTTGTGCAAATCAAAACACCTGTACGACGACGTTGGAGGCCACCACGGGGTTTTGCACTTGCCAGACCAAGTGGTGTGTGCAGTATTTGCATCCCGAGTTATTGCAGCCAGATACCAGCTTCATACCATATTCTACCATTGCGGCAGTCAGCCCTGATATCACTGTAGGAGACTTTGCCGCCCATTGCTTCTCAGACGTGGCAAGGTGGCTCCTTTGCCAGCTCAGTTTTCCCGCCGCGCACCTCGTCCTGCGTGATTTTGCCGCCACTGCTGAAATGAGCATTGTAATCTATACCTACATCTCAAATTTCAAGCTAGTAAAAGAGGAGTTTCTGACTTCACTCAACACCCTTTCCATATAATACAGCATCACGCATACCTCGAGCTAGCGCGAAAATATAGCCGACGTCCAAAGCAACTCGATGACCGAGTCATCTTTATCCAGAGGGACATTGTTCTTGTCGACCCACCGGGGGTCATCGCCTTTTCGTACATAAGTCTGCAAGATGGACCCGTCTTCCTGACGCGCCGACTCTCTCAACTCCCAAGCGTCCTTGCGCCCCGTTCCCAGTAGCGATGGCCGCTGCGGACCAAACTTGTAATCAAAGCTGCCCCCCTCGTTTGTATACACGGTGCGAAACGTAGACTCAATCTGGTGCGCGGCAAACTTGATGCCGTGGGGGTACGACGCGATCGAGTACCCGGAAATAATGTAGTCGTCTGTTGTTTGGAACCGCTGCAGGATGCAGTCCTCGCCGCACGCGTAGGCAACCGTGGCCATGTGCCCGGGGACGGCGTGGTGCCAGCTCCGGTAGTGATGGAGGGAGAGCGGTTGTCTCCCCGATTCGTAGAAACCCGCAGGATCGCCAGACATGTCGAGTTGCCAGAGATTGTCCAATGCGGTGAGCACCACGTCGGGGTTTCGGCGTATACACTGATGCAGTAGCCGGTCGCCCTGCTCCTCTGCTTCGTGCAGCTTCTCGGCTGATGAGCATTCGCCAAATAGCCCCGCGACTCGCTGGGCGGTGGTGTGGGATAGGAAGACGCCCGCGCCGCCGAATGCTTGTGGTCCGTGGCGTAGGACGGCAAATACCTCCTCTGAGAGGGCGCCGATGTACATTTCGGCGGTGTGGTCAAACTCGGCTATCTTTTGCGCGAGAGCATGCATAGAGGGGAAAAAGGTGTCGTCGTCGCAAAGAACAAACCATTTTTTTTCCAGTCTCTTCCGGTGGGAGAGCATGGCAGGAACCAGGTATAGATAGCGAACTGCCATGTCTGGTGCCGTCGACGCCTGCACATCGGCATCTATGCCCGCCTGGCGAAGTAATCTTCGGGCCACTCGAAGCTGCTCATCGGTGGCGTCTGATAGCGTCAGAAGCAGTGTGCCGCCGTTGGATCGGCCGGCACCATCAGTCAACCAGTAGGCCCAGTCGTTGATGTACGGTGTGCGATTCTCTTCAAAGCGTTGATAGGTGGTTGAAACGCCAAAGATGAAGGCCGAGGCATCGACATTTTGGGGAAAGTTGGATGCGGAAACGGTCACTTCGATGGGATCCGAGCACAAGTCGATTTCGGGGTCGAGCCGGGACCACTTCAACGGCAAGTTGCGTCCTGACGGAAACATGGGCTGTGGGAGCCTGGTGAGGCTCTCGCGCCGCAGCTGAGGGTTTCGCGAGAATTGCACCAGACGCTTGGCGTACTTGAAGTCATCTTGAAGTTCGTACCTTTCTTTGAGCTCTGCAAAATGAGTCTCGTTTGGCCGGCGGCACTGTTTGCGGTCAAGCGGCTTGATGTCCGGTGGCATCCAACCTAATGGCTGCTTGTGTCGTCGTGGCGTAAAGACACAGTCCCCCGGCCAAGACCAAGACGCCGACGAATGAAAAGTCGCCGTGTAGATGAAAGCAGCCGCTAGGAGAAATGCGACGAAAATGCTGGGCTTGAACGTGCGCGTTGCAACTCGCGCGACCGCATACATGTCGTCAACAAGTAGCGGGCGCCCATCTATTTTGTGATGGTAGCCTGGGCTTTGGTCTCGAAAAGCAAAACATGAGGAGCGGCCAAGCACACGGTTCATCAAAAGAGCAACCCAAAGGCTTTAAAACGCACTGCGTCACATCTGTTGGTCCATGCAAACGTCGGGAGCAAACACGTGTTACGTCTTGACCTGGATGCATGACGACGGGCTTGATTTAATTAGGTACTCCACAACCTACGCCCCTTGGTGTTTCAAAATGTGTCAATCATCTTGAGAAAATGCCTCTCATCATGCGGTCCGGTACTTGCCATGTCGGCTTTATGCACCTTGACACTTGACATTTCTTCAACGTTGACAGGCTCGAGCGGCCCTACACGGCAGCAGCCCAAGTCGCTCAAAACTGTCAAATGCGCAGATTTTATCGGGTCGGCTCTTGATCCGAGTCCATCTAGGGGCTTGTCGCCATGACAATTCCATCCTCCGCCATCGACGCTTGTAACGGGCTGCTTCTAGGAGCTTGTACGACTGTCGATCTTGTTGCGCTGTGTTACAGCATTTTCTGATCCTCCATACCTGCCTTGAGTCGTTAGCTGCGACTGCCCTTTAATCTCTGATTGTGTAAGGGTTCAAGTGTTCTCTGAATGCTGTCTGGTGGCGCTCGGGGTTAGACCCTGGTCCATCCAGGTATCCTTGCCCGGCATTTCAGTCGCATCCATTTTATATTAATTGGTTTATATGCAAGCTAATAATTTAATCTTCCGTCATCCGATGACTTGACTCTACATGTGTAGAACGGCCCAACCCTTGAATTCTTGTTTATGCGTGACCTAATCTCACGAGGCATGCGACCAGACGCCTTCCGCCCGCCCGCCCTATATAAGATACGGAATAAAGCTGGTATATACTATGTAAATGCATTATTAATATAAGAAATACAAGATAGTTATTTATACACAGTAGGGTTATTAGTATATTAATGCATTTAAACACACAAGCTGCAACCCGTGATAGTTACTAGCCAGCTAGGACAGCCAACTCGACGTGGCCACAACGGCTAGTCACGTGCCACGCGATTCCATACAGGAAATCGCAGAATTATTTCCTACTATCGTAGAATAGTCAAGTTCGTCTTTCCCGATAACTGGTGGCTTTGGACGGCCCTGCGTCTCGTATTTGGTCGACATATTCAGCTTTGTCAACCTTTAAAAGGCCGTCTGGCCCAAACTGAGCGGGTATTGGCAAGATCGGGGCGGCGTAAATAGGGTAAGAAGTCAATAGGATATGATTGGGAGATGAAATACAGCGGCGTCAGCTCTCGAGACGAGTAATGGGCTACGGTTGCCCCGACATCTTTACGCCGATTGCACAGAGGAAGATGGTGATTTGATTGCTGGAAATTCTTTCGTCGACCTTTAACAGGGCCCGGGAAAGGAGTTTGCGCCTGGACAGCGACCAACTTCTATAATCGCGTAGATCTTTGACTCGTGTGTCTAGCCGATGGGCACTTTCGAGAAATACCCGTACTCCGGCTGCTTTCGCCTTATTACTCTAGGCTGTGAATATCGTAGGCAATAGCTCCCAGGTTCGGTTGGAGCTCTCGAACCACGTTTCAAAGTGGCAAGAAGTGTGTTGGAGACGTTCCAGGGGCGAGGTAGACGTCGTCTTGAGGACTGGAGGCATAGGCAGTACAACGGATGAAGTTGGAGGCCAGTTGTAGCAGCTAGTTCGGGCTTGCCCCTTTGGCAAAAGATTCGTTCGGGGGACGTTTCTGTATTGGCATTAGCATTCGATACGGAGCAGAGTTCTGGGGATAGTAGGTAGGGCTATATTACAGGAGAAATGTGCAGGCGAGAACGAAAACGGGAACAGAAGGGGGGCGACGACAGTTAGCCTCACACGAGGCTACGACTGACAATGGGCGTTCGTGGTGAGCGGCTACGTAGCCACAGATCGGCTTTGTTTAGGCAACGGCAGCCAGAGTTCACGGACCCTCGAAGTGGTTGCATACCAAGCCAGCTCGCCAAGCCAACTGAGAATCAATGGTCTTTGATAGAAGGGCCGACGACGAGGCGGCCAAAATTACCCCCATGACCAACGACTGCCGACCAACAGTTACACAGCAACACCTAGAAACAAACGCCTGCAAACAAACAGCTGCCAACTTTGTCCTTGACTGAATCTACCCAGGTCGGGAATCGTGGCACTTTTACACCTGAAGTTGAAACATCGAGAATAGATCTGTTATTAGTTTGGACCTCATGACCGAGATTTACCTTTTGGATAAAGGGCCTGCACATGGCTTGTTGGGCCTCCTAGATACAAAGCCCGATTCATGACTCAACTTTGACAGCTACACACCAACACGCTTGGACCAACACCTACGATTGATGATACCAGATTCTTTGACTAGACGTGAACTCACTGTCAGCCCAGAGACAAGTAAGGCCATGGGGCTTCACCACACAACTTGAACATTAGTTTTATACATCACAATGCCCACGCCGGATCTGACAAAGGCCGAGGGATGTGGTGTTACAGATTCATTGTAATAGTAAACATAGCATCGTCCTCGTGGCCCCGGCCATGACTTGCTTGATGCTTTCCCCGTCTGACATTCATTATCATGTCAAATGAGGCTTTGTGTACGGTGTCGCAGGATATTTTTGCCCATCGAAAAATACAAACCAATATACTGTAATATATCATCTAGGGAAAAGAGATAAATATGAGTGAATGTCGTGTATTTCTCGACGAAATGAACATCATCAAGCGAACAATTCTATCGACTGTCAGATCTTGACGCAATAATCGCTTCTCGCGAACTATCTGTCCTCGTTATTCGGCGTGCAGAACTACAGCACCGTCTTTACCGATCCTAGACTTGGCTCTTAGTATCCATTTCTTGCTTCAAAGCTCCCAAGTCTACAATGTCCCCATCCCCGACTGTTCTTGAGGCTCTTCAGTGGCCTACCACCACCCTCGATGCTGCCGAAGCTCCGCCCGGACCTAATACGAGGGTGCTCACGACTCTTGAAATCTGCACATGGGACAATTGGTCAGACTTTACCTTTGATAATATCATGGCTATTTTTGGAAACCATTTGAAGAAGGACTATCTCGGTCAGCGGGAGCCAGTGGCCATGGAAAGAGACGTGGAGGTCTATAATGAAGAGTCCGTTGATGGTGGGCTGCGCCGATTCCCGTTCCCAGTTATCAACAGCGCGTTGGGCTCCTCGACGGAGGTACAAGAAAACGCTCCCTACTATGGCTACGGAACTAGAGTCAAGGGCAACAGAATGAAACCTGACTGGTCCTGTACCTCGAATCTGGCGAAAAAGGGTTCGGGGTACATCAACCTCGTTCCCGGGGACACCAAAACTAGTGCCAAATTCAACCCTGACATGCTTAAATCCAACTTTAAGGAATGGAAGAAGGTCGTTACCCAGTTGGCTGCATACGCTGACGGGCATCGCGTCCGGTACGGCTTCATTGTCACTGATGTATCGGTGATTGTTCTCAGGTTTGTGCGTGAAGGCTCTGCGCCTGGCGTGGGCGCGAATCTCCCCCGGCGGTCAACCAGAAACAAAAGGCCAACCAGAGACCCTACACCACAGTCGTCAAGCGAGGCAGAAATCACGTCCAGCCAGTCTTCCTATGGTCGGGGCCAGGACCTTCGTACCGAGTACAAGGCCATTGACTGGAGTACACACGGACGCGGCAAGCTCACTGCCAAACTCGCTCTTTTCGCTCTGGCAATGATGTCTCTGCACGGGGATAACTATATGGCTTGCGGCTATCCCAAGATAAACTCGTGGCGTGGTGGACCCGACGGGATCAGGCACAATACGTCTGGTGAATTCCGCATGAAGGAGGCACCGGGTTATGAAATGGACGAGCCCGAGGGTGAAGATTTTGAAGAAGAAGATGAGGAATACGACAAGGAAGACGACAAGGAAGACGATGAGGACGACGAGGAGGAAGACGAACCACAGATTAGCGCAACGGTGTCCGTTATTGGCGACACGGACCATCTGGCTCTGGATATTACGAGGCTCAAGACCGTGAAGAATGTTGAGTTTACAAAACGGAAAGGGGTCTGGTGCTACAAGGACTGCCGGGGAAAACTCGTGCCCTACAAGAAGGGGCAATTTGAATACGATACGACTCTGAAGCGTTATGTAAAACATGGACGGCGGTATAAATACGTGGCCAAGAGTCTTCCAGACATGTAAGAATAAATCTCTGCTAGTTCCCCTCACAAACAATATGGGCACGGCCCGACTCTTGAACCTGACGACGGTTACGCAAGGGCTCGAGACCTAGTTAGGGCCTTGGTCTTCCAGGGCCGAGGGCTCACCGGTGCTTTGCAGAATAGGGGGAAAAGAAGTCTTGTATTTTACCAGCTATCAAGCTTTGTATTATAATATATAAGTGTATGCTTTTTTATCGGCGTGTATTCTTTTTTATTAGCGCGTACACTTTTTTATATAAGCGAATATATATTTTTTTATCGCAGACTGTGACATGGGGCTTGGAACAAATCTATTCAGCTACTTATTTGCTTTGATACTAATGGTCCTTGGTTTTCGTCAAGGCCTCGAGAGCGGATGACCCCTATTCATGTCAAATAGCGGTGAGCAGGCGAGGCTGAAGCCTCGGGCCTTGAGCCAAGTCTCGGGCCAGGTCTCGGGCCCTTGTGTAACGATCGTCAGGTTCCAGATACGGCCCGTGCCTTGATGGCAACGTCACTTCCGTAAATAGAGACTGTGTAACCAACATTGAAAGGCCTTGAGAGAAACCAGGGAATGAAATGACCGTTCCAAGCCTTGACAAAGGGAACCCTTGTCACAGTTTCCCGGGTCCGAGAGAGAGCGTGGCTTGTGCTTCGAGTGATGCGTTTGTGCAACCAGTCGACCTGCAACCAGTTGAAGCCAGGAGCGGTACTCCCAACGTGAATTGGGACATGAAAAGTGGGTCTAGTCCATCAGGCAGCAAAGGCAGTCCCACCAAATCTGGTTTCGCCGGAGAGTCCAAAACCATAAGTATGAATGCTTTTCCTTGTCCAGTCTCGAGAGACCACTACGTACGATACCGGGCAACACGACCCGCGTGACCGGTAACCTGCACGCATTTCAAGTCTTCGTTTCTTTGCTTTTCTTTGATCTGCTTTACCAACCATGGATTCGGAATGGGAGCAGCGTGCTGAAAAGGCACTCAAGATGACGAGTAAACCATTTCTCGACGACAACATTATGGATCATGAATCCCCCCCTAGTTGCGCCAAGAGCGACATCAAAAGGCCTCGGCTGCGAAAGTTTCCTTTCGATTTAGACTCGATATCCTTTGTCGGCGGCATTTATCCATATCGTGGCCGCAATGTCTGCACTGGCCAAGGTCTCGATGGCGGACTCGACGGGTATAATTGGAAAATTCGCGTTCAAAATGCTGGCCCGACCCATGTCTTCAAGCTAGTAAGTGCCGGCATGCCTTGCTATGGATACAGACCGGCTGTGCTCACTGCTGACATCTGGACTCTGCTCCATGTAGCTTTGGGATACGGAGCCCTGGTATCCGCATTATTATGCTCCTCAGAGAGAATGTCAAAATGCTGCTCTTCTACAGGCCATGGAAGCGGCAGTGGCGGACGCAGCCCGGCCTGACAATGCCAACGGGCCGATTCTGGTCAACCCAGAGCCCAAGACTTGGGACGAGGCGTACAAGAACATGCTTGCCTTTTCCAACGAGGCTCGTCGGCAGCGCATTGGCGTCCAGTCTCACGATTTGCTGTCCATCACCAGTATGCCTCGTATGCGAAAGTGTTATGGCTGGATGCAATTTACGGGAGAGGAATTGATTCGCCGTTTGCCTCCAAGGTTGTTCCCGCCATACGTCGAAGTAGATAAGGTTGTTCGATCCATTGATGACGAAAAGCTCTACACAGCGGTGGTCTATGAGTTTATCGAGGAAGCTGCCAATGATGTTGACGTGGTCAAGTCAGTGATGGAGTTCTTGTGGCATGCTGGTTTCAGCTATTTGTGGCCCAAGGCAGATAATTGGAAAGCGGGTGTGTTGGTCGACTTGTCGGACATTGTGAACCCTAGAAGCTATGGATGGAATAGACAAGGGTGCGGTGAAACGGATCCAAGCTTTGTGCTGAAAACTTATACTTGACAACTTGAGGCAGTGCATAAAGCTAACAGCAAGGGCACACTAGGTGCTACTTTAGTTAGCCCATATTAAGTAGAGGAACTTGATGCAATTATTCTACCTGATGTAGGAAGACATCTCTTGGCACACTATTTTCCAATAGAACATATATGACTCATTACATACAATCCCCTCTTGGCCTTTTGCAAAATATAATGGAACCTAATATCGAGGTCACATGATATCAGAGTTCCATCGAATGCTACCGGCTTTGTTCACTTCTACCATATTTTGGCGATGATTCAAAAAATTAGTCCTATAGAAGAAGAAAAGCGTGGATGGTATAGCACTTGCCTTCGCAATTGACAGATTTGTCTGTTCCCGCGCCATGGCAAAAGTAATAGGAAGATGCAATAAATACACCCGTACGTGGAAGTTCGTAACAGAAGCGACATTCTTTCATGGAAATCGTATTACTCAACAGCTTTGTAGCCGTTTTGCCCTTGTTGACTGGTATTCGACTTCCAAGCAGGGTTAATAGAAAGTAAATGCAGATTCGAGCGTTTCCAGCGGCATGCAATGGCAAATCAATCTGAATCAATATCGTGAAAGCTAGAACGAAGGTGGTGCTGTCCTCGGTTCCAAATCGCAAGGCAGCCGTATACAAGATTTGATGTTGGCACAACATGTCCGAGACCTCCAAGACGGTAAACTCGGTCAAGGTATTTCTCTGAAGAACTTGGAGTTCCAGTCTCTAACTGTAAGCTCAAGTCCTTATAGTTTGGTCTGTAACTCTTCCAATTGTATTGCTTTACCTTGAGTCTGTCCAACTCTGTTTTGCATACTGACATTCATCATGGCAGATCGTACGAATAGGGCAACAGGCCGATGATAGACCTGGGCAGCCATTGATTCGACTGGATTCTTTGGTGTTATCCAATCGCAGGGTCGGCAATTTCGTCATTACAAGACATTCTGCCATCTTAGTAAGGATAAGGACTGTGGGAAATGCGAAGTGTGGGCTCTCAAAGTGCTTTCCGGAGACTTTATGGGACTTAATAAGACTCGAGGTTTGGTTGAAGGGCCGAAGAATTTCTCCGCGCCCAACCTTAAAGATGAAATGCAGTATTTTCCAGCCAAAGATTAGCATACCGTGAAGCCGAGATGGTCCTTGATCTGGGGCGACCGAAGGGAAGCTTAGTCTTCTGACGGGCCTACTCGTCAGGCACGCATGGCCAACTCGAATGCATCATTCGCATTTCAGGAAACTCATAACCCACAATACAACGCTCTTGAACCATAGCGTCAATCGCCAGATCGTCGCACTAGTGACAGGTGAATCATGATACGGACATAGAATTGGGTACAACTGGGGTAGAAAGGGTGAATGAATGCTGCGGTGAGCCAATATGTCAATATATCGGACCCGACGATAATGTGCTTACCACAAAGCCCAGCCACCTGTCCATCAAAGACCTGTGACGTGTATGAAACCCAAATGGCTTATCTGGCGTGGCTTTGCCTAATACTGGCCACTTTGCGCCAAGGCACCGGGCTATGTAGCAGTCGTATTCCATCCTCAAGCCTGAGACATTTGGCTTTCTAATCGGGGGGGACCAAAACGTCTTAGTAGGTTCAATCGGAAGCTCCCGCAGCTGAAACAACGTATCAAGAGTCGACTCATTTGCGTGCTCTCGATGGCACTTTTGGCATGTCGAGTATTTTAACAAGCAGTCAGTGACATCTGGCGGGATTCTTAGTCGTTCCCTGCCTGACATCAAACTTCAAAACCAACATGGGAAGAACTGAGGATTCGAGTGCTATAACCAGGCAGTTTCCTTGCTTTCTCAAAGATTCTCAGCATGGCCAAGATACAAGGTCATGGTGAAGAGGAAGTCATCATCAGGGCCCCGTCATTGGGAACCGAGTCTCGGCACCAGGTTTCCCGTCCTTGAATCCAAGAAAAGCGCCAAATCACAGGATCCAAGCCAGGAAATTTAAATGTACCGTGTATCCAGAACATAAACCCACGGGCGAAGTATTTAGAGATGATATGGACCGGCATATTATTACAGTGCATTAGCGTCTGCAACTGGGTTTCAGAGTGGCAGTCCTGATCTACCAACAGCCAGAGGTTTATGACTTCATATTCTAAAAGCCTTTTCTATCATCCAACTACACGAGATCGCAACAATACATATCAGCGTACTTGATAGTTTTGGGATATAAGAAGACTGAAAGAGCATGTTGGAAACGAAAGTGTATTTTACTACAGCAAACAAGTGACCCAGCTAGCCGGCTAGCTATATTCTCTTCAAATTATGCTCTTCAAAACATTTATGACATAACTGGACAAAAGCATATTATGTATAATCCCCAACAATGAATATTTGCAACTAGTGTCTTCATGCCGCACTCATTTGCCAAGCTGTTTGTCTACAAGGCTCCAACTTCAGCATTCCGACTGAATTCGCCCTCCTAACTGGCTGCAACGAGATATGCCAGTCGGCAATGGCCAGAGACAACACGGGTAGATGGGGAAAGGGTTAGTACGATAATTACACCGGAGCTCGTACATCTAAAACATCCATTCAATTTCATAGAGGTAGCTAATGAAGCAGCGGTGAAGGAAGAGGATCAAATCATGGTTGGAGCTGATGCCGCGATTGCTGTATGGGGGATAAAACGCGACATGCTCTCAACTACTTGTGTCCATCTTGAATGTTTTCTTGTGCCGAAAGTCTGCTCAAGTATCCACCTCTACGATATCTCGTGTGACCCAAATATCTCACATTTCAGTCTCCATTGCAATCAAGATATTCATAGTCAAGCTCCGCGCGGGGCGACTATTTACAACATCGTCCACCGTGCGGAATATGAGCTCCCCCTCTTGGCTATCCGCATACTTGATCTGAAACTCAGAAACACGATGCGCATTGCAGATAAATTCACCCGCAACGCAATGGCACCCAGGGTGGCTGCGCTTCTCGGCGTCGAACCATGCCTCCTCCTCCATGTGCATGATGGCTTGAATGCTCTGCGTAAAAAAGGACACATCGGCATTCTTACCGCCCACTCTCTCTGC